GACGCGAAGCCTTTGCCTCCGTCGCCGTACGCGGGTGGGAGAGCGGGAGCGGGAGGTGGTGGTGGAGGTGATGTTGGTCAGCAGCAGCACCAGCGGAATGGGTGTCAGCAGAACAGCGGCGCAACGCTGCAAGGGCCCTTTGTCGCTGAGCTGGAGTGAATGAGTGAGATTTCGGGAGTGAGTGGTGGCGGGGTGTGCCCTTTGTGTCACAGTCTTTTGTTTCCCGTCGCTTCGGCCTAAGGGTCTGTTTGTGTGGCTTATATAAACTCGATACCCCATATCTTATTGTTAATTTTTGGCAATTTATCAAGGACATGTATACCAGTACATGAGAACCTCCTTCGTTGTAAGTGAGATCTGGATGTTTTGTGTAGTTCGCGCGAGGCGCAGGTTACGTCCTTGGGCTGGTGAGATTGGTGAAGTTGACTAAGATTAAGTCTCAATTTTCCGGACATGAGGCTGAGATCTTGTCGTCTTTCATATTCAATTGAATGACTAAGATCTTATACAACAATCCGCTATTCCAAACAGGCAATCTTTTACATCACAACACCAACTAACAAACACCGTGTTGCTACAGACCGAAAATCCTTCTCAACAGAGACATCAAATCCCCCGGCAACTTTCTCATCAAGCTCATCATTCCCTCCCGAGCCAACCGAGACCCCTGAGCTTCCCGGCCCTGTCGCTTCTCCTGCTCCTTCACCTGCGTCTCCATCCCCTTCTTCGGCGTGGGCGTATACCTCCTTTCCCCATCCAACCTCTGCATCCCATATCTCTTAGTCACAAGCGTAGACCAAACCTCCATGCCCAAAATCCACGAAACGCACCCGTCCCGCAAGATGCTCAAATTCGCATCATCAACCTCGTCCTCCAACACCGGCAGCCCCTCGCAAGCTCCAAGAAACTCCTTCACGAGATCGCTAGTCTCCCCGCCCAGCTTCGTCATGGCCTCTTGCGCACCCATCCGGTCCTCCTCCATGAGGACCCTCACGCCATTATGCCCGTCCTCGCCCCTGGCCTGCTCTTTATCGAAACTGTAAATGTCGTTTTGGTTGATGATGACGTCGACGCAGAGGCCCAGCAGCGAGTCCACCGCGGGGATCCGCAAAAAGCCGGGGCGGATGGCGCGGTCGATGAGGAGGAGCGCCATGCCCGGGAGGACGCCGATGGTGCGCCGCCGGACGGCGACGTACCTCTCCCGGCTCGGCACGCAGTTGTGTCCCCCCGCCTCCCCGTCCGGCCCCGTCCTCCGGAGCGCCACCTCGTCGCCCACGCCGTCGAGGTAGTCTGCGAAACTGTCCACGAAGAAGTCCCACGAGTCGGGCGTGCCGCCCACGGCGTCGCTGCGGTAGCGTATCGCGATGTCGGCCGCCATGCGGACGCCCACCCACGCCTCGTCGTCCCCGTCTCCGTCCCGGTCTCGCCCAACCTCCTCGGGATGCCGAAACGCGCGGACCATGGCGGCGGATTGCCTCCGCACCTGGGCCTCGCCCTCCTCCGTGTCGTCCACGTTGTCCGTGAACTCGTCAATGACGAAGAAGTGGAGCATGACGAGCGCGGCGAGGAGGACGTGGCGCGCGGGCTGGTGGGCGTAGATAATGCATGCTATCTCGGGGAAGTCGCCGGCGATGATCTTGGAGATGAAGAGCTCGTTGATGCCCTTGTTGATGGAATTCGGCTTGGCGTCGCTGTGGCAGTAGCCTCGCAGCCAGCTCTCGGATTCGGCCTTGATGTACTGGGAATCTGGGTGGTTGTTTGGGGGGTAGGGAGATGGCCAGCTTGGGTGTCGGCGCCAGTCTGCTAGGAAATCTGGGATTTGGATGGTGGTGTGTTGGATGGTGTGTTTCTCAGTGATTGGGGACGCCATGATTTACGGCTTGCCAACGTAGATCCAGTTGTCTGGACTCTGGAGTAATATGACTGGATGATGGTGTAATTGAACTCTTTGAAGGGAAGAAGAGGTTGCTGTGGACAAGTGAGAGCAGCAGGATTTGGTTTAATGTCTCAGGCTTCAAACGTTTCTTTGGCCGCTGCTTGGAACTGAGAGCTTTATAGCCATCCTTCGAGGGGCTACGCCGTACTACCACCAGACTTTCGAGTCACGAGGCTCAGCAAAGACCGAGAGGAAGCCTAGAACTTGATGTCATCCAAGGTACACGATATCACATCCAAACCAACTTGTCACTTTCAGACTCGATAACGGTCATCATATCGGCACACAATCGCTTCCTAATCCGGATGTGAAACGGGGGCCTCTTCCCACTCCGGAGACAAGGGACAGAGGCCAAGGGACGCAAAAACCTGATGTGAAAAGCTTCTCCACCTCCAACACGAAGAAAGAAAAAACTACCGATACACTGCCCGTAAGGCGTCCCATCGAAGAGACTAGGCTATCGCCGTAGCCCACCGGAAAACCCCCCCTAGTGCCCCCACGCAACTCAGCCCTATCGCCATTGAGGAACTGCACAGCAGACGCTTGTTGGTTCGCAAACGCACCCAGGCCAATCGATTCGTGGCCCCCAAAGCCCGTAGGGCTGAGACTTGTTCGGTCTTGTTGAAGAATCCGGTTCCAGGTCCGCGGTAGAGTTACCTTCGGACCGGGGCTGAGGGCTCCCCGGTCCCCGGCTCTCCGCCCTTCTCTTCCTTCCTGTGCCTCGGGCGGTGGCACGGTGATGGATGACTGGCTGTTTCCACCCACACACACACACACACACACACACACACACACACACACACACACACACACATCCACTATCACTATCACTATTACACACACTCTCTCTCACATACACACTCACACAATGCCAACATCCTCTTACTTGCATGTCCCGAGAATATCCATAAGATCATAAGCATGGGACAAAACTCCATCAAAAATAAAACATGCAACACCAGGCATTCGCCGGTCGTCTCCGACCCGACTACTACTCTGGCCCTCGCTGGTTTATCAATGGGAGAGCGGACGGGATCCCGAGTTCTCCAGTGGGTATGGTCGCATGTGCTGAGACGATCTGACAATTCTCTTCTTGTTCCAACAGGCTGGTTAACCGCGGAGCGTCGTTGGACGGGCTCGGCGGGATTACCAGAACCAGGACCCCGGGCTCGACATAAGCCAGGGCGATTAGTCACAACGTATCTAAGCCCCCCCAAATTGGGGTCTGGAAAGTGGGATGTGGAGAAACATGTTGGTCACAAGTGCATGCTCTCTTTTTACTCAATTCGGCATCATCTTACCCCCTCCTCTCGTGCCACACCTTGTTCTGGCCGTGGTTGGGAGGACCGGTGGGAGCTGACTGTTTGCTTCGCCCGAGGCTAGCACACGGTGGCGGTGGTCCAGGCTTATACACATGTGGTACGGGCTGGGGGGGGCATTTGCGTCGTTCAAGGTCTCGGCCCGGGAAAAGCGGGGCCGGGGCGGGCGTCCGGCTCTAGCAGGCAGCACAAGGCAAGGCTTGGATGGCAGCCTGCCAGGCAGACATGGACGGAAAAAGTCATTCGCGGGCGATGGTTGCTCCCTTCAAAATGGTTCTAGATCGGGGATTGTGGCAGTCAAGACTTATTTTGTAGATTTGTTATCTGGCCACATGATCTTTACGGGTGAGCATTAAGCGGACAGGTTTGGAAATGACGCTTTCTCATAGTGCGAGGTTCAGAACATTAAATCTTTCGATTAAGCGGCAAGTTGCCTTACCAAAATCCCAATTGCAAAGCCAATCGCCCGAACCTTGGAGGAATGGATACAGCTTTGGCCGTCACTCAATTTATCCAAGAGCAATCTCACGGCGACGGTCCCTCGAGAGACACGTCGCACCTACATGCCAACTCCATCGCGAGGTTCTCAATCAAACACGCCCGCGCGGCATGAGACATGAGAAGCGAAAAACGAGAGAAACGACGTAGATTCGAGCTCGCAACCTCCAGAGCCCATCATCGTATTCCGTAGAAAAACGTACATTGTGAATACGCAGGTATCACATCATAAACATCGCTCGTCACCAAAAGTACTATGGAGAACGATGCCATAAAAAAACAAACTATCCATGGCATGATGTAGGACCGTGAGCCAACATACGCTTCCACCCATCCAAGGGCAAGAATCGTACCGCTCGGCCATCGACTACAACGGACGGTGTTTGTTGAAAGATGCACCACTTTTGGTCGCTATATATCATTCTCCATGTCCAACATTGTGCTCTTGGTAACTTTGAGTCATCCCGCCTCCCGAGAACCGCTTTACGCCCGAGCGATCAGCGATAAGGTAAAAATATAAAATCAAATACATCATTCTGCTATATCATTCTACTAATCTCACATGTTATTGGCCCATATCCTCATCGTCATTTTCACACAGTACCCGTTCTGAAAATACAAGACCTATAACATCGCCTCTCATTTCCTGGCACTCTAACGCTTCACAGAGCTGCAGTCAACGTGTGTGGGCGCCGGATGATGCGTTGCCAAACTGAAGTTGGAGTTTCTGCCATTGGTGTAACGAGATAGGAATCGTGAAACAGACTCGTTCCACCGAGGCAAGGGGACGAAGGTAGGCTTCACTTCCGCGCGCGCCTGTCCACTCGCCGAAGCGCCGTGCAGCTCCGCCAACGAATAGAAACAAACTCAGATATCTTCAGCTACTAGGGCCAGAGCAAAGCGGCAGTGTTGGACTCGGAGGATCAGCTCCAGTTTTGTTGGTCGTTGGGCGCTTAAGTATGGCTTTGACCAGTCGCGTGCGGTGACGCCCGCCCGGAAAAGCGGGATCTCGAGGCTGATGCCCCGACTTCACTGATCGTCTGGGGAGATTCACTGCACTCATCCTCTTTCCATTTTCAACTTCTAAACTCATACCAGGAATCATCAGAGCGAAACGCCGTTAGCCGGAATCAAGTCTATTGCTTTTCCTTTTTTTGGACTCTATCACCCGTTCGACCGTTGTTTCCGAGCGCTGAGCCCAAGTCATCACCACCTCTCTCGTTGGCCCATCACTGGCCGGATTGAATATGGAAGAGAAGGCCCCTGCAGCTGAGAACATCTTGCGCCAACTGGATCTGTTGAAGAAACTACACCTCTCAGATATTGAGGTTCAAATTCTTGATATTCTAGCCTACGACGTTCGAGCGACCAGTTGGGAGACCGCTTCAGAGGCTGCATTCTACTTGGACGCTCTGTGCCCTCCTCTAGAACAGCGCAAAGAGGCAGAAGGCTACTTCTATGTCATTTGGAGCCTCGTAACAGATATTGCAGCCAGTCATGACGTGACAAAAGAGACGCAAACTCATCTCGTCAACACCCTGTCAGCATTGCAACAATGTGCAAAAGGTGGAATCGACATCTGGGGTGTAAGTGTATTTCGCTAACGAGCACTCAAAATTGAACCACAAACGACTGATCATCTCAAACCTGACAGAACGAAGAAGACAGACAACGCGTTTGGAAAGATCTGCCATTGTTTTACATGGCCGTTGAGGCTTCTTTTAGTGGTAAGTTGCAATTGAACCACTGTCGTCCCTCATGAAGAGGGACTAGGCTGCGTGCGGAACTGAAGGCCTGACGCGAAACAAGACCCAACTCAAGAAGCGACAACAGAGAGCTTCACCTCCAAAGACGCACAAGAATGGCGCAACATCAACAGATTCGGCGCTATATTACTGAGAATGGGCGTCTTGGGCCTTCACACGCAAGCAATGGACGCATTGCGTTCGGCGCTTGAGGAGGAGCCGAGCCCCATCCCGGCGGTTGCAGAGTGCCGGCTGCGCGTCGCCTGTGAATGGATCCGTCAGAGCGCGAGGCCTCTCCTCGGGTGGGCGCGGGAGAACGCTGGCTATTCCGAGATGCCAGAGTATGAGAGGGACTTGACGGAGGAAGCGATAGCATATCAGGGGGTTCTGTACGAGGGTCCGCCCATCATGTGTCTCCAGCGGTGGGGATTCTGGATGGATCGGCTCGAGTGGCTTGCGAAAAGCGAGGATTCTGAGCTGGTTGAGGAGGCGAGGACGGAGGTGCTTGAGGCGTTTTGGGTTATGAAGGAGGTTGAAGGGCGGATAGGACATGCCCTGTGATGAAGCGACGATATGCCCAGCTTCTCACCCCAAATATCGTTGAAGTTCCACTCTAGACTCAAAGCATAGCTCAGACGCACGTAAGAGTAGATGATCTGTGAAGAATACGCAGGCTGTACAATGTCCGAGTGAAGCCAAATCTCGTAGAATTTTCCCTGCCGATTGACGTTTCTCTTCCACTTGCTGATACGAAGATTCTTGAGTCAACAATTTTACTCTCTGCCACAATTGCTTTACCTGGCTGGTTAATATCACAAGGGAGCCAACAAGACATACTGATGTCTACTACCATGACCGTATAACAAAGTTAACGGATCGTTTCTCTTGTTCAGAACTGAGGGTGGATTTGCGGTCATCAGCATTCGCTGTTGGGCATTGCTAGATGTCTAGGACCAGGCATCGCGAGACAGCGGAAATTGTGGGTGAATCGTTCTATCAGCCGAACATCAATTCATGTTACGCAGGGCAACTTGAAGACAAAAGTCCGTGTTATCACACAGCGGCTGTCTGCTTCGTGCTCACTACTGAGAGCGTACTCATAACATCCAAGGTCGAGCAATGTGCAGGTCCTAACTTGCCACCGATTCCCCTTTCGACTACAGTAGTCTCGTGGAAGATATTGGATGTCAAATCCGAAATGCACTCGTTCTTTGGTGCGGTGTGCCTAATCTTTGGAATTCGAAAAGCCATGTCCGATCAAAAGGCAACATCTTCTGTTCTGATGATGATGATCATGAGACGACATCACGAACTCCACCACACATGCCTCTTCTTAAGGAAAGAGAGGTATTTGTAAGCCAAGCATGTAGATATCATGCACCAGATTGCCCCAGAAATTCGGCGTCAACATGGACTTACTCAATCCCGAGGCGTCGACATCAGCGTGACATCAACGTCTCCCCAAAACTTGTCTCGAAAATTCTCCGTGATTCCTGCGCATCAAGAAAGCGGGAAGCAAAGCAAGGGTCCCGCCTTTTTATTTCCCCCTCTCTCTTGATCTTTACCCCTCTTCCCCATTTTCCTGCGACACGATACATAACATACAATGACCATGCATTAGCATGAACCTATTGATCCCACGTTTTTCGTTCTGGTTCCAATCGGAGGTTTTACTCCCACCAAGAAGTGAGGGAGAAACAAAGGACCGATGAACAGTGAGCCGTTGGACGGGAACCTAACCGCAACCCAAACCTAGCCAAATATTCCCATCCCTCCTGATGGCAAGGGAGAGAAAACTCTATAGGGCGGCAAGTTGGCTCGCCGTGTACCTCTACCAGCCGTCTTTTCGGGATGCTCGTCCCGCTCTCTTGCTTAAACCCTCCCTAGATCTCACTAGAAACTGGGACGAACATGGACAAGGGGCGGCTATTGCGTGATCAAATCATTGTCGTCGTCATGCTCACCCCCCCTTCCCTGGAAGTTCATGTGCAAGTCAGCCAAATGCTTTGATTTGCTTGCAAGCGGAGAAGAAGAAAAAGTATACTGTGTGGTACAAGTACAGCTGATCTATATCATAAGCAGATCCCATATGTCCCATAATTCAGACATCCTTCCCCATAACTCCCGGTATGCCAGCTTCTTTTTATATTCTTCAAGCGGATACCTCTGTCCCCAGTATTCCTGTTGGTCGCCTTATCATCTCTGTGTGTGTATATATAATCCTGTTACCGTTGTTGCCTTGTAATTCGTGTGTTCCATCCCTCTCTTGTTCGTTGCTGTTTCCCACCTTATCATCATTCATGTTTGTTTTCTTGGCGTTTCTAAGTCATCATCGTTTCGCCACAACTTCGTCCTTTTCCCTCCTCTTGAAAATCCAATAATTTCCGCCCTGGCCATCAAAGATATGTTATTCAGCTCGACCGTTCGTTTCGTCATCGACATCAAGTGTCAGGTAAAGAAAGAGATGTAAAAAGGAAAGTGGCACCGATGTCCATGGCCAGGAATCAGCGACAAGTTCGAATCGTACGCCGAGCGCAGTTCGTTGTCCACTAGAGTGGACGTTTCCCATCATATCGCCCCCGAGCCGAGGTAACGAATGGAATGAGCGCTAGGAGGGGAGAAGAAGAGAAGGAAAACCTGATGAGAGTGAGAGCCAAGGAAAGAAGAATGAAGAAAAGAGAGTCCATGTCGGACAGAACGGGAGAGACGGCGTCAGAAGTCCTCATCCATCAAACACCGATACCAGAAGAAGGCACAGCACGCAAACACCCAGAGGGCACGCATGCTGTGCCCGCCCGCGATCTGCGCCATATCGATTTGTCCATGAGGATGGCCCGCCCTAGCTCTCGCTGCCGCCTCCTCCCGCCTCCGCTCCTCGTCCGCGAACCTCACACGACTATACGGATCCTGCGATGGGGCGTACGTCGGTGGCGGATGCCGCACTTGCTGCTGCGAGGGCTGCCGCTTCACAAACTCCTCGGTCCCGGCGACGGCCGTGGCGTCCGTCCCCGCCGTGTTAGCGGTGCCGGCGGTGCCCGCCGTCCCCGGCGCCTGCGGCGTCACCATATCCATCATGGGGATACGCCGCGGCTGTTGCGCCGTGTATGGGGTCGGTGTCGGTTGACGTGGTAGTGGTGGTGGGTGCGTTGGTGGTGCTGCCCCTCCATCTCTGGCGCCAGTTGGGACCGAGCCTCGGGCCCCTCCTCCCCCGCCCCCGCCTCCTGCTCCTCCGTCTGATGAGGAGGAATAGGACGAATAGTTGGAATAGATGGAAAAGGAGCTACGGTGAGGGTGTTGTCGACCAAGGACGCCAGAGCTTGCTCGGACACTGGCTCGTTCACTGTTGCGGACTCGTCCGTTGTAGTTGAACTCCCGAACAGGGCGCTCGCCGCCGTTGTTAAGGGTCGTCGACTCGGCTTCTCCTACTCCCTGCGCAAGACCTCCCAGTCCCGTTACGCCTAGTGGTCGTTGCTGTCGCTGCTGCTGCTGTTGTTGCCGTTGCACCTCCTGCACCTGCTGGTTATGTTGCTTCTGCAGGTCCTGAAGCTCCTGCAGCTGCAGAGCCGGACGCTCCGTTTCTGGCGGGGAGTATACTTTAGAGGATAACATCATTGATGGGGGTATATGTGATCCAGGGGGAGAATGGAGGAATAAGGTCGCCGCAGGCTTTTGTCAAAGGACAGCTATTAGCGACTTACCCTTTTCTTTGACAGGATAGGGTAAAGGCGTACGTTGGGCCGCAAAGACCAAAGTGACGTCGAAGGGGGGATGGAGGGGGGAAGCGAATCTGTATCAAACAACCGAACTGGAGCCTCTACTGACTCGGCACCAGATGACGCTCAGGGCAGGATGCACTCAACGTCCAGCTTTCTCCGACGAGGTATGACGAGCACGACGGATCTCGCACTTGCGCGTACGTCTGATGCGGAGGCCTCGGATTATCATGGGCGGGAACTTCTTCGTTGTCGAACACCAGAGAACAAACGAAGAACCGGCGAAGACGGAATATTGGTGACAACGCATACACGCGGGGGTTGGTGAAAGAAAGGTAAGGCTGGTGGTGGTGGCTAACACGCCCGAAGCTCCCGTCGAACGTGTGAACGACGTGCCCGCGCATACCGAACCCATCTTCCCCGTCCCCATCCAGCCACTCCCGCCTTTCCGTCCATACTTTCTTCTGCCTCCCCTCTGCTGAGCCTCACTTGGGACGCTGGTTGGGCGGGCGGTGCACGGTGAAGCATTGAGACAGCCCCCCTCCCCCCTCCTCTCTGACCTTTGAACGAAACCCCCAGATTGACTTTGGACTTGCTTGGCTCAAGCTTTACCCTCGCAGCCTTGGCCCGCGGTTCTGAGGCGGGATTATGTTTCTTGCGGTCTCCTCGACTTGCCCCCCTCCCACCATCCAAGGCGTGTAAAAAGGGCGGCTGAGCATTACCCGTACGTCATTGGGAGGAACAAGAAAGACGGGAAGAAAGGTAAGGACCGTAAGGTGAAGAGCCTTGCAGTCCAAGTTGCATCTCAAGGGTCCGAGGGTCCCAGCTGGTTTCCACGCAGCGTAGCGTCCATTGTCTCAATGATACCAATCATAGTTCGACGTGCCGTTTCTCGGTTGCGTCTATGGTAGGTCCAGGGACGGAGGTGAGATAATAGTCGCAGTAGTAACTAGCATCCCGTCCCGTGTGCGTGCTTGTCTATCATGGATATGTGTTGACTGTAACAGCATGCTTGTATATGCATGCCTTACCCGTGATGAGTGTATGTGTAAGATCATCATGCCAACACAGCACAGGGATATACGACAAAAGAGAAGGGGGAAAGGTCTACATCCTTACCATACTAAACGAAAAAGAACGGCATTAAAGAAAGGGTCTTGGCTGACTTGAGATTATCGGGAACCACCCGGCAATCCAAATGTTTCGTGCGTCCGCCGTCGTCTCGTATGTACAGCAAACACACGCCCGCTGGTTCGCCCCCCCCTTCGTTCTCTCACTCGGGAAGCGTAGTGTGAACCACAGCAGAGAAACGATGTTGGCGTCCGGCGGGGCTCTGGGGAAATCGGGGGAAGGGGGGGGGGGGGGGGGGGGGGGGGGGCGGCGGGGGGGGGGGGGCGGCCGGGGGGGGGGCGCCGGCAGGGGGGGGCTCTCTACCACGTCGGCGGGGCCTTTTTTTGCGTTGGTTTTGGGGTGGGGAGGGGTGGGGGGGGGGGGGGGGGGGGGGGGGGGGGGGGGGGGGGAGGACCCGGCCGATGTCGACGATGCGCCGGCCGGGCGAATCCTGCAAGGGGCGATCGTATACACCGTCGGCGTCGGCTTCGTTTTGTTCGGTTTCGGAGTGTGGGGACCATTTTTCCCCTTCTACCACTCTCTCTCGTCCACCGGGTTTAAGCTATTGTAGCAGTCCTTCACCTTCGCCTGTGACCGTGCTTTCTTCCCAATCCTTCATCATCTTTGCTGATTGAATTTTTGCCACCTGGTCGAGTCAGTCGCGACATGTCATCGTCGGAACTCTGCAGTACGTCCAAAACCATGGCTTGCCTCTACAGATGGGAAGAATTAACCCCCCCCCCCCCTCCACCTCCCCTTCCCCCCGCCCCCGGGGTTTTTAGTCGATGATGTCGCCGGCGGCCGAACCGGCGATTGAAAATGATCGGAATGGATTCCGCCAAGGGTTCACGGCCTCGGCCGCCCGCCGCTCGATGTCCTCATGGCGTCCAAAAAAGTCTGGCCGCAAAATGCTCGGACGTTCCTGAGGGAAAAAGGGGAGGGAAGGAAAAAAGAAGAGACAGCGCTAGCCAAGCTGTCGTCCAACGTCGCAGGGCAGAGAATCCGGCTACATGGTGCGGCAAAGACTCGTTCGAGATAAGTCTTGACGAGTTTGACGGGTCACAGTAGTGGTGATGGTGGTACTGGTAGTTCGTTCATCCCCCTTCTTACTGCCCCCCCCCACGATACGGAAGATGACCGATAACTTGGACGCTAGGAAACGTAGCGTACGGAGAAAAGGACTTCAGTTTTTTTTCTGCTCGTCTTCTACGCAGTTCGGGATACAACGCACTACCCTAGTTCGTTTTCTTCCTCGAGGCTTCGACCGAGAAACAATAGCTTCCTTTCCTCCATGGAAGTCGTCCACGCCAGCCCCGATGCGTGGGGCCGCTTCGTTTTTTCATATTGAACTGCCGATACGCCGATTACGAAAAGAGCAACGTGAAATGAACCTGCGGGCAACGCTGGTCCCGGCAGACAGGAAAAGAAGGGAGAGCTAAAAAGAGCGGTCACGGGCCATGCAAATGGAAAGTGTGGCCATCGTCGCATTGCCTAGAGATCCGGGGCATCTCCTTGTTTTTTTTTCTTCCTTTCTCCGCACACACACACCTACACAGCACGACAGTCACACACACACACACACACCCCGGCTTTTGCTGATCACGCAAATCGCTGGCGCTGTCGATCCGGTGCTTGTTCGGCAACCGTACGGATTTACACGCAAATCGAACGGCATCTAACACAAGGGCGTGAAGGGATAGGCAGAGAGGGAAGACGGCCTGAGACTGAGAGAGAGAGAGAGAGAACGTGTCTTTAGATCGGAACCCCTAGAATGCCTCTCCGCCGTTCCAGTTCCTTTCTCCGATTGAACTAGCCTGCAGGGGGGGGGGGGGAAGGACATTTAACCTAAATCCGGAGAGAGCATGCACGTGTCCACCTGAATTCCCGGCATCTCGATCAGACGGCGGACTTCGCTGCCCGCTACGCACACGCACGACACGGAATCCGGACAAAGTTCGCCTTCTCCCCTTTTCACTGAGCCACGTGAACGACTCTATGTCTGTGAGTACCTACGTGGGATCAGATAATCAGGCCATGGAGGCTGTAAAGTGTATCAAGCAGCGTAAGGAAAACAGCAGGTCAGAAACGGGCACACGATGCAAGCTGGCCTAAAACCAGGCACGCTGTTTTTTTTTTATTCTTCTCCCCCCTCTAGCGGGCAGCCGAGGCTAATGTGGTGTAAATCCAACACAGATAGGAACACATCTGTGCTGCGCTGGTCTAGACTCTGATAGCCGCCGCCGTCAACTACCTTTAGTCAAGAAGCAGAGGCACAACATTCAACCCGGGACTGCGGTTCCTAAGCCCCGCGTCCGATGGACTTATCCTAATACCTAGGTAGGTGGGCACGGTGGGACAGCACAAGTGGTTTTTGTGATGGTTTCCCAGTGAATCTCTTGGTTCAAACGCCAAAAGCCGTCTCCTCGAAGACAGACAAGGAAAAAGGGGGGCCCGAGATGCGTGGATGCCACGGCACGTTTAGCTCGTACCCGGAAGAGCGGAAACCTGTCTTTAATCAGTCTATAGGCATGGCCATGGCGTGGACTCCCCCCCCCCCC